TCGACTACATGGGAGTCCAGCGACATAGCCATTACGCTAACTGCTGGTCCCTCTTTTTTTGTTGTTGTTGTTAATCTTTTAACTTTTAGTTTTTTGCTATAGGGTGCATGCACTTACCAGAGAGAGACAGAGACAGATAGAGAAAGTGAGAAATCACTCCCCAGGAAGATGGCCACACTGCAATCCTTTCTCCTCCTGCATTTTCTTGGGATTTGGGGCACACACACACACATATGAGCCCAATGTGTTTTTCAAGCTGCCAGGTCCAAGACTTGAACCTCAGTCAGCCACATGGGATCTAGCACTTTAACTACCATTTCATCTGCTGGCCCTGGTTGGTTTTGTTTTTGCCTTCTTCAAGAAAACTACATACAAGGGACTTTTAAAAGTTTATGGAGGGGCCAGCATTTGGCGTGGTGGTTAGGACGCTTGACTGCCACTTGGAGGACCACGGTTCAAGTCTTGGAATTGGCTACTTGCTTTCTCACTTTCCCTTTCTTTCTCTTTGTCTCTCTCTAGTGAGTGTATATGCCCTATAGCAATATAAAAAATTATTTTTAAAAGTTTATGGAAATATGAAATGAACATATGAGTTTATTTTGATGCAAAAAATTGGAAATTCATTTGCAATTTTTTCATAATACGCATTTTCCATGCACTATTTGAGGACTCCTGTTATTTCTTAAGAGTCTTTGTTGCTTTAGTTCTTACTGACATTGGGAGGAAAATAGATTGTGAAGCAGCAAGCATAAAGGAAAACAAAGAACCTTCTTCCCTGTGGGTTAACTCTCCTGATAGTGGATGTGGTCTCTGAGAAAATACTGAACAGCCAAGTGACCCTGGAAAAGTCATTTCAATTATTTGGTCTCATCTATGAACTGTAATTAAAAGGAGTTCATGTTGATGACCTCTGGTAGAGTTTCCACTTTTAATAGCTGTATTAAAAAAATGTAGTTATACTGTCTTATTCTTATTATCATGTGACTGTTACCAAACCTTCATCTAATTAATTCAGCAACTGATTATTTTATGGCTACTGCATACAAAGCAGTGGGCTGGACATTATGGTGAACAGAAAGAGTTGTTTAAAAAGTTCTAACCCAGGGCCAGCAAGTGATGTGGTGGTTAAAGGTGCTAGACTCTCACGTGGTGGAACACTGTTCAAGTCTCAGACCCAGTAGCTTGAAACTCATGGCAGGCGTATGTGCTTGCATGCCCAAAATCCCAGGAGGAGAATGGAGGAGAAGGGATTGCAGCATAGCCTTAGGCGGGTCTAGGGGGTTGATTTCTCACTTTTCCTCTCACTGTCTCTTTGCCTCTCCAGCAAGTGCACATGCCCTGTAGCAAAAACCTTAAAAAAAAAAAAAAAAAAAAAAAAAAAAAGAAGAAGAAGGAGGTCCAGCAGGTGGTGTGGTGGTTGAGAGTGCTGGACTCCCACATGGCTGACCATGGTTCAAGTCTCAGACCTAGCAGCTTGCTTTCTCGCTTTCCCTCTCTCTCTTACTGGTCAAATTAAAATAAATAAATAAATAAAGAGTTAAATAAAGTAATGCTTTAAAAAGGGAAACAAAGGAAAAAAGTCGTAGCACATCTTTTCCATTAGTTTTAGATGGTTTTATATTTTAGTAACTTTGGGATTTTTTTTTCAGACTAAGTTCTTCAGATAAGTAAATAGGAATTTATTGGAGAAACTATAGTGTTTCAGAAGGCAAATTCTGAAACAGGTATTAGTTCTTAGATTATGTCACGTTTCTGACATAGTCTTAAAATATGGCTTTTGTAACTAAGAGAGTTTAACTATACCCATAAATTTCAGAGTGAAGGAACTGCTGGTAAGATTAGTTTTTATGGTGCTTACAAGCTCAAGGTATTCTTTAAAAATGGAAAGTGATGGCTTTGGGAGTCACTTATACTGAAGCAGTACCCTTATAACCTGAACTATCCATAGTAACTTCACAAAAGGATTTACTATGTATGAGTAAATCTATGTATTATACAATCTGATTACAAAATCCTGAAGTTTTGGAAGTCGGATTTCTGTTTTTGGCAAGCTGGATTTGATATGTAGCTTGCCCTAGAGTTAACTTATAGTGTGGACATCTCTTGGCTAAGATAGGGAAAAGGTGGATCTTGACCTAGAAAACTAACTATAGAAATTCCATTTCTAGTAGTGTCTTTGTGGAAGAATCACTTTTGGATGGCCTCAGACAGCAAATTAATATCTATCTTTCTTAGCATACTGTTTTTTAATTATTTATTAGATTCAATTTATTATTATTATTTTATTTTTTTTATTTGACTAGAGAGAGAGAGAGAGAGAGAGAGAAAGGGAGAAAACCAACTGCCAGGTCCAGGACTCAAACTCCATGTGGAAATCCAGTGCCTTCAACCATCATACCACCTACTGACTCTTTCTCAGCATATTGTCAACTGTTAAACTGTTTTGTATACAGACCACAAGTGCCTAACACGTAATAAATGTTCCATAAATATTTGCCCATGAACTTTTCATAGTCCACTCTCTTAAATCTAGCCATCTTGCCAGGATCCAGTAGTTGGACCTGCTTTGAAATATGTGATCAGTCACCTCAAGAGGACAAATTATTTAGCTCCTGTTTTTGTCGGTGACTCCAGTCCTTGTATTGTTATTTTCTTTATTTCATAATTAGTCTTCTGTATTTTCCCAATCTTCTTAAATCTGTGTATAATCATTCATTAATGAGCTATAAATTTAGTAATGACCAACATTTTAAAAATAGAAAAGAATGGGAAATATCAAAATGTACCATGCCTAAGTCCTTTTATTGTAAACAAACATATTGTATCATGATACAATTTTTAATATTTTTTTCTTTACATATCCTAGCCTACCCATTGTCAGAAGGTAAAAACACCTTCAGTGTCCCTCTTTTGTCATCTCCCAGCCTACCTCTTTATAAAAGCTTTGTAATTCAGAATAGTCCTATTTCATATGACTTTGGGCTCCCCAGAGTATAGGGTCCTAACCGGGCTGCTACCTTCCTAGAGCATCATGTAGTATCCTAAATAGACAGATCCCTGCTTGCATCTGTGCAAGCGCATGGTTGAGGGGAGATTGAGAAGTCCTTCCTGAGCTCAGACCTATCAGATCACCAGCCCCTGAATCTCTGCAGCCTGGGCTGGAGCCTCATGCTGTGTTTGGGTGGGCTGAGTTGGGTGGGGAGGAAGCCAGATACTGAGCCCGCCAGCACCTAGTGTGCTCCCTGCTGCCACACAACCTCTCCTCTAGCCCTCTCCTCCCCACCCAGAGCATTTCAGGCAGAGAGCCAGCTCATGAAACTTGGCCTCTTTGAAGTGGTGAATGGTGCCCCTGAAACTGTCACTCTATGTCTGGTGGCACTTCTCTTGCTGCCAGAACTTTATATAGGGTTCATGTCCCTTTCCTCTGAAATCTGTAAATGTAAATCCAGTTTTAAACTGTGAGTTGTTTCTTTAACAGTTGGTCTCTGAAGTGTCTCTGGTATGGGGAAGGTGGGGATGCCAGCACTGGTGGAGGAGATAGGTGCCCTTGAAAATTGGATCCTTTTTTTTGAAAACTGCTGACGCAGGCTAATAGGCAGAGAACTAAATGACCCTAGTGTTTCTACCTGCTGACAGGCTCAGCCTTGGGATGGGACTGAAATGAGCTCTCACCACATGGCAGAGACATGCTTTCCTCTTTTTTCTCTTCCCTACGAATAGGGGCAGTTTTTTGCCTGTCAAGTAATTCAGCTTTGTAGTGTAAATAACCAATAAACCACAGTGTGTCCCTCCCCAACTTGGAAAGCACATTAGTACTGATCTAAATAACTAGAGAATCAGGTCATCTGTAATTTCCCTGATAAGGACTGTTTTTGCTTTGTTTAGTTCCGTTTTTAATTTGCCAAAGGGCCCGTGGTGTGCTGGCCAGAGAAAGGAAGAGGGGGCACCCCTTGAAGGGCATGGCCACTCTGCAATTCCTTTTCCTCCATCTCTCCACCTTGTCAGGATTCTGGGCATACGCACAAATGTGCTTTGTGTGTTTCTCAGGTCACCAGGGTTGGGATTTGAACTGCGCGGTCAGCCATATAGGACTGGCTGCCTTAATCTAGCTAGACCATGGAGCTGGCCCTTTCCTAATTCATCTTCTCTGGCAAATGCTAGTGGGAGTTCAGGGAATGTATTGATTTAAAGAGGTCCAAAGAGGACTGGCCAGCCTGGCGTGCAGCCATGTAGCCTGGTATTTCCTTACATTTCTGCACTCTATCCTTTCTGTGAACAAGGAGGCTTTGGAACATTGATCTTGGGGAGGCAAGACTGTGCCTTTCAGTTCTGTTGTCCAGTGTTGTTATCTGTTGGAAAAGGAAGCTTCCCTACCTTTGGAAAGCACACAGCTGGCAGGAGCTGTTGCAATCCTG